TGCTATTACTCCCATTCGTGTCCTACATCAAGCTTCACAGCCTTTTATGAAACTTTTCAACAAGCATCATAAACTCGTTCTCCTCCTGAATGACTTGCCTCCTGTGACGTCAAACGTCATGAATCACATTTGCACTAAGGGCCCACCTGTTTCGGCCCGCCCTCGCAGACTAGCCCCGGACAAGCTCAAAGCTGCTAAGGCGGAATTCGAGCAAATGCTCGAAATCATCCGCCCGTCCAAAAGTCCATGGGCATCACCATTACACATGGTACCGAAGAAATCCGGTGACTGGCGCCCCTGTGGTGACTACAGGGCACTTAACAAAGTTACCGTCCCGGATAAATACCCTATCCCGCACATGCACGACTTGACTTCAGCTCTAGCTGGTAAGTCTACCTTTAGCAAAGTCGATCTAGTTCGCGCCTACCATCAGATACCTGTCGCGCCAGACGACATTGCTAAAACAGCAGTCATCATGCCATTCGACCTATTCGAGTACCTCAGAATGCCTTTCGGCCTCAGTAACGCTGCCCAAACATTTTAGCGTTTCATTCATGTGGTAACGCGAGGACTAGAAGGCGTTTACCCTTATCTAGATGACATACTCATCGCCAGCTCTTCTGACGAGGAACATCTTCATCACGTCGACGCTCTCTTTCAAAGCTTAACACAGTATGGGGTTACCGACAACTCCGATAAATGCGAGCTTGGCCAAAGCTCCATCGACTTTCTTGGCCACCGCATGTCCGCCTCTGGTATTGAAGCTCTGCCAGACAAAATCCAGGCACTGAAGGACTATCCTACTCCCAGTTCCTTCGAACAGTTCCACCGATTCCTTGGCCTGGTCAACTATTATAGACGTTTTATTCCTAACTGCGCGAGCATTGTTCATCCAATAACTGACTTGCTCCGCGGTAAACAACTGTCTTTTCACTTTGCAGACGACGCCAAATGGTCTTCCGAGAAGCTCAAAGACGCTATCTCCAACATAGCGCTTCTCACCCATTCAGACACATCTGCACCATTCTCCCTGACAACTGACGCATCCGACACTGCCGTCAGTGCAGTTCTTCAACAACTCATCCACCATAGATGAGTACCTCTAGATTTCTTCTCGAAACGTTTACAACCTGCCGAATCGCGTTACAGCATCTTCGGTAGGGAACTGTTTGCTACCCACCTAGGTATCAGACATTTCCGTCACTATCTCGAAGGTCGACATTTTACAGTTTTCACTGACCACAAGCCATTGATCTACACAACCAATGACACAACGGACAAGTATTCTCCGCGGGAAACTAGACACCGAGACTACGTTTCTCAGTTTACGACAGACGTGCGATATGTCTCAGGTGCTCCCAATCCCGTCGCGGATGCGCTTTCACGCATTCAGCCTATCGCCTGGCACCAACATTGACCTAGCTGCTATGGCTGCTGCCCAACAAGCTGATCCTGAAATAGACAAGCTACGACGCAACACCTCGTTGGAACTACGCGGAGTCCCACTAGCTTCATTTGAGGGGACCATTCTTTGTGACGTCTCACAAACTTCTCCCCGACCTGTAGTTCCTACTTCGATGCGTCGACTAGTTTGCAACGCTCTACACAACCTGTCTCATCCCGGCATACGTGCTTCGCAGAAGCTCGTAACTGAACGCTTCGTATGGCCTAACGTCCATCACGATGTCCGCCTTTGGGCACGTGCATGCTTAGAGTGTCAGCGCGCCAAGGTATACAGACACACCAAAAGCCCACTTGGCGTCTTCCCCGCTCCTGACTCTCGTTTTGCACACGTCCATGTCGACCTGGCCGGACCTTAGCCCCCATGCAAAGTCTACGTGTACCTCCTCACTTGTGTCGACCGACTCGCCCGTTGGCCAGAGGCGATTCCGATAGTCAACTGCTCATCTGAGACAGTTGCGCAAGCTTTCCTAGAACGCTGGGTAGCTCAGTTCGGTTGCCCAAGCGTAGTCATCACTATCTATCGCCTATCTCATCACATGCGACAGCTTCAGCCTGTGCAACCCAGAGCACAAAGCTTGCATACCAACGTGGACGAACGCTTAACTACTTGCACGCACGTGTTCGTTCGCACTGACAGTGTACGCTGGCCACTTCAACCTCCTTACTCTGGTCCGTATCGTGTCGTACGCAGAAGCGACAAGACGTTTACCATTGACTACAATGGCAAGACTGAGACGATTAACGTCAATCGACTCAAGCCAGCATTCCTCGACAAGTCTGACTCTTCGGTGCAACAAGCACCTTCACAGTCTGCGCCATCACAGCTCGCACCGCAACCTCAGACGAGTCACTGCGCTCCAGCAGAACGGACAACCTCAACCGACATCCCTCCTACTCGCCCTACTATCAATCGACGCGGTAGGAAGCTCCAGTTCGTTTTCGGACTTCTTTAGCACTCACTATATTACATAGAACGTGTCTTCGAAATTTTCTGCTCTTGCCAAACGTTTACGAAAATACATAAAAATAGATCAAAATGTTTTGAAACTACCAAAAAAGAGCAAAACCTTTTGAGAACCCAAAAACAGCTTTGCACGTTTTTCGCTTCGCACTCTTTTGTGTATGACTATGCATTTATGCTGCTTTTTCATTTTGCTCTCCATATACACCGTCGGTTGGTTGCACCTCGGTTTCACTTTTCGCTGGATTCCCGCACATCAATTGGAAGTGGAACGAACTTCCTTCTCAACCGCATACGTGAACTTTACTAACTGTCCCCAACAAAGTTTTTTACCGTTTCGACACCGTAGGGAGGACACGGGTGGGAGCCCGCTAGGGTCCGATTGCATGGTTCGCTCCCAGCAGCTGCATCAGGTTTCACAACCTGGTCTCGCTAAAGGCTGGCCCGCGACGGACAGTCCTCACGTAAACCGTAGGACCGCTTACACAGTCCCTTCTGGGAGAGGGCTATGTAGCAGTCTGGAGATTCCCCGGTTTGCCTGTGTAAAATGCTAACTAAAATTATTTCATTGTACATCTAGGCAACCGGTGTGGTTTGTTGAACTTTTTGCTGAGTTCGAATGCTTGACTTGCTCATCGGCATTGTTGCTTGGCGCTCGTTTCGGTTGCAACTCGCGACTGCCCTGTGTGCTGTGCTTGCTCCGTTCCCCTAGCTAGAACGTCCACGGTGTCGTTCCTATATAGTTAGATAACAGGGAATCTTTACTGTACCAATAAAAGTTTCCCTGCAACTCGATCTGTCTTTTCGACTCGCTCCGGGCTCGCGGTACTGTCGACCCTCTAAAACCGTCTTTTAACTGGAAAGTTTGGTTCTGATTTGTCCTGCCAATTTAGTCATGCTAATTTATCCGGTCTCCACAAGCATTGTATAAATCTGGACAAACCGCGGTCCGATCGAGTTAGATTGGAGACACGGTTATCGCGTCGAGTCATCGTGCACTGGAACCTGCTTCCAGAGAATGTTGTCAAGGAAGCTACGTTTAAGGCGTTTGGGCGTCAACTAGATTCCGTTGGGTGGCGTCATGAAAATTTTCCTTTTTCCTGACTAACCCATCTTCATACTTCGATTCTATTTTCTGTACTTTCCCTCGCCGTTGGTATTATCCTCTGATTTCCCTTACTTTTTACCCTCGATTTTGTTTCCTCTCTTACTTCACGTAACTGGCATAGTAGGGACTGCTAATCGAGGAGCGTTGGCATTAAATTGGTGGACCGGGGTGTGCTTTCGTTTTAGCTCTATCAAGAAGTCGGTGCACCCCTATCAACTGGATCAACGACCCGCTCAGGAAGGGGCACTTACGAGATTCATTCTATCGATCGAGTCCCAACTGAACTTGAACTTGAGCACTTCACATTGGTCAACGGTTCCGCTTCCTGCTCCTTTTCGATAATGGCTGTGGCTAGACTATAATCAAGATTGTTTAGGACGGAAAGTTAGTGGGTAGATGTAGCTTTCGTTGGGGTAACAACCACAGGCATTATAGCCTAACTATGGCAACAACAAATATAGTATAGCAAGGGTTCAAGGTGAAATCGATACATGATTTAAAGGTCATTTGAAGTAATCCTTTGGTGAATGCATTGCAACGCACAATCCAAATTTATACCGCGATTCACATTGTAATGAAACTTGGTCAATGCGATCGCTAGGACCGTAGCCGAAGCAGATTGAAATTTAGTTTTTTCTCTCCCATAACACTGCACACCAATCGAGTTAGTTCAACTGCCTCGATCCTGCGAATGGATTCGGTGATACATATCCAATCGCATTCTGAAGACAATCAATTAACGTTGAGTACATTTCTGCACAGCATGGGAATACCGTCGACATGCCATGCCGTCATAGGTAGCGACGAAGTCAAAGGTTGAGTATGGAACCGCAAGCGAAGTATCAACCAATGGAGGGACCACCTGTAAAACAATTTATGTTGGTGTACGCCTAACACGGGTTTGGGTGACTTACTGAGTGGGTTTCCTCGATTATGGGCCACCGTCGCACACACAAACAGGCTCAACGGCGAACTAAAGGAATACTTGCGGATCGGGTAAGTCACGATACATAGACTATAGCTACAGTCCCGGAGTGTGTGAGTCCACTACGTAACAAACACGGTAACGCTTTTCTTCACTCGTTGGTATTATCGTCAATTTAAGTGACCTTCCCCTTTGCTTTCATTTTACCCCTACTTCACGTGACTGACACAGCGGAGACTGCTAGTGCAAGAAACGTGGGCAGTAATTGGTTAACCAGTGTGTGGTTCGGTTGTTTCGTTTTCGATGTACCTTGAAACTGTACTTGAACACGCATCCCGGTATGCGCGTTGTGAAGGCGAACGTGTGTGGCGCACCGACTGGCAAGAAGGCAGCCATGCCTACGCTGCGTGCGTGGGCGGTTCTTTGGATTGATTGGTCAATCGGTTCATTGGCAGTACTCCACCGCCATTGGTCAGATAGTATCATGTGGTATCATGTGGTATGCACATGCACGCCGCCACATTGTCGTGGTTTCCTCGGTGATGGCCGTGCCATGCGACTTCGACGTCCGTCGATTTATTGGCCGTGGTTGTTACTCGGTAGTTTATGAGATTTCCAAGAAGAGTGGGCCAGACGCCGGATCACTTTATGCATTAAAACGCTTTTTTTTGGAAAATAACTCTTCTGTTAACTGCGTCCTGCGTGAGCGTCGCGTTTTAGAGCGCTTGGCTCTTGCCGAATACCAGAGCCCTTTTCTTCCGATGTTGCTATACAGTCTATGGAGCAATTACTCCTCCGCTTTTGTTCTTCGAGAAGGGGCAGGCTGTGACATGTATGATTTACTGCGTCATGTTGGTCAGTTGTCGGAGACCAATGCTCGATTCTATGTCGCCGAAATTCTCTGTGGATTAGAGCACTTGCACTCCTTGAGCATAGTCCACTTGGATATAAAGCCAGAGAACATTTTGTTTTATCGTGATGGTCATGTTTTTGTGTCCGATTTGGACAGGTCATACGACATGTCATTAGGAGGTCGTCCTACTCTTGATGATTTCACTGGAACTCCGCTGTTCATGGCACCGGAGATCGCCAAGGGTGAGACAATCGACGTTCGTTCCGATACGTGGAGTTTGGGTGCCCTGGTTGCTGAGATGGTCTCTGGGCCTATTCGTTCTGGTGCCCAGACGGTGGAACAGGAATTTCGGCAGGCGCGCTCAGGTACGTACAATATTCGTGGGCTGAAACGCTTTTCAAAACCGTTACAATCCTTCTTCTCAGCGTGCTTACACCGGGATTACAGGCAACGACCCTATTTGAAGGATGTGAAAAGGCTTCGATTCCTAAAATGTATCGATTGGGAGTCTGTGAGGAACCTTGCGTTACTCCCTCCGTACAATGTAGCAGATATTCACCATAGACCTTCAAAAGAAGATGGCGAATTATTGAAAGCAACTGATCAAAGGATACTTGCCGGCGCATTCGATCCGGTGAAGCCGGTCACGTTTTCCTCTAGTAAGAAGCAATCAACCAAAGGTCCCACTGTTCTTTCTAACGTTAAAGTGGGCGATGGAGTGTGCGGTAACTCAGCCTTGCCTGCTTCTCTTCAGGAATGTGGATTTACCGAAACCTCCCTTAATGAAAAGTTCAAGTCTTTCAACTTTGTCCATCCCAGCTTGAGATTCGCAAGAGAACCTGAGGTACCTGCCGATAGAGCGACTACTGCGGCTGATTTACACGCTCCTGTTGTAGATGACATTGATTCATTCCTAAGTGAGTTAAAGTTTGTGGACTTGCCCCTTCCTCGATCCCGAAGGCGTAGACTGTCGGTCGGAGATTGACTATTCTACAATACGATTGAAACTCCTAGAATGTTCGCTGTCATTTTAAGCTACTGCATGCATGCACTCCCTTTCTTATACTATAGTTGTGCTTTTGTTCCATGTGACGTATCCATGATTTCCATTCTTACTCCCTTATTCGTGGCCTTATGTTTTGATAGGCCCAATTCTTTTTCTCCCAAATGTTTTTTCTGGTTTCTTGCATGGTGTTCCAAAGATATACAAAAAAGCTATTTTTGTTTCCGACAGCAAGTGCTTCTTCTTTTTTGGCCGATTTGAAACGTCGTATGGCGCAACTTATTTCTAAGCGAACGTTGGGGAGTGCTTATTTGGCTTCTACTTCCAGAGTAATCACTCATTTCGCCACGATTATAGGATTATATCATGAAAATTTTTAGATCGAATGATGTGTTATAGCTCGATGTCATTTCCTACCGTTAGTCCTATGGATTGCGTCTGACAGTGGTTGCAATGTCTTTTATTCCTTAACCATAGGACCCCATTTTTACACATTTTTTTACCCCAGCCTATCTGGGCGGCCAACATGGTATAGGCTCCCGTAATGAAAACGGTGAGCGGTTACTTCATTTGTGTGAGGATGCTCGGTTATTTCTTGCGAGCACTAATTTCCGACACAGCACCCGCCGGAGGGTGACTTGGCGCCCACCAGCCTCGAACCATCTATGGACGCAAATCGATCACATTGCGATAAGTCACCGCTGGAGAGGCTGCGTCCAGAACTGTCGCTCGATTTGGAGCACATGTGTGGACACCGACCATGCACTTGTATGTGCTGACATTCGGATGCGTTTTGGCGGACGCCCACGACGACGTTGTGACCGCATTGACACCAGCCAACTGGCGAAGCCAGCTGTTCTGAATGCCTATCAAAGTACGCTGTCATGCGAGTTGGATGAACGCTCACTGGATGCACTTGAAGCTCACTTTTCTCATTCACCAGACCTTACTAGCAGCAGGCAAATCCTCATGCGGTGTGTCTAATCTTCAACATGGACATTGGGTCTCTTCTCGGTCTCTGGAACTTAGAGATGCTCGCCAGCATATTCCGGCTGGAAGTGAACACAATGAAACTCGCAAAGAGCTCCGGGCAAAATTCCGTGCTAGCGTGAAGAGAGACCGCGAATCCTGGTGGTCTCATCGTGCATCAGAGATGGAAATGGCCGCTGCCAATGGTAACCATCGTAAGTTATTCTGTCTGATACGGGAAACGGGCAGCAGGAGACCTGGTGTTAGTTAAACTATACGTGACGAGAGTGGACAGCCTATCCACAGCTTATCAAAACGTTTAGAGCATTGGGCTGAGCACTTTAGAAGGCAATTTAATCGGTCGGAGTGGTTAGATTTCTCGCCGGCCACTAATCGCCCCACTCCCTGGGCTGTTCCTTTGGATCCACCCACTCGCTCAGAAGTCGAACGTGAGATCGGACTGTTGAAGTTAAATAAAACCGCGGGACCTGATGATCTACCTCCAGCCCTCTTGAAATTCGAGGGACCTGCTCTTATGGATGATTTACACGAGTTACTAGTCAAACTGTGGGAGCAGGAAACCGACCCAACCGATTGGAGCCGCTCCGTCATAGTCCCAATTTTCAAAGAATGCTCACGATCGGAATGCGGCAGCCATAGAGGAATCAGTCTGATCTCCATCGCTTTCAAATTGCTTGCCTCTGTCATCCTTCACAGACTGACTGGCACTCGTGAAAGCCAGATTTGTGAAGAGCAAGCTGGATTTCGTCGACGTCGTGGCTGCATTGACCACACCTTCACTTTGCGTCAGTTGTTGGGAGTTGAGAATGCGCTCAGAGTTCTTGATGGATCTAAAACGAGTCACCCGATTCACACCCTGGTCAACCAATTTGTTCACTCTCCCTGCACTGGCAGTCTGCTGTGCTGTGAAGTAAACAAGAGATAGAGAGAAATTTAAGGCAGAGTAAAGAAACCTATCCAGAGGAGAAGTATAATACCCAAGATCTTGGAAAGAACAGAAAATAGAATCGAAGTATGAAGATGGGATTTGGTCCGGAGAAGGGAAATATTTCGTGTTGCCATCATCATCATCATCATTACACATTAGCTGGAGGTGGAAAACACCTCAGCTATCGTGCCGCAATACAAAATACAAGAAAAGGAAAACAAACAGTGGCACGCCCGCTGAGTCCCCAGTAAAGGATGGACATCGCTCTGGAGAGCTAACAGCTGGCTGCCGTCAAAGAGTCACATTATGCCTAACAAGTGAGACCGTGATTGGAGGGGGATGCTAAGCAGGAGAGGGATGGACAAAAGAACTCACAACACAAACGCCATTGGGGCCGGCTCCAAGCCATATCAGCGAGTGTGTCCAACCAAAACTGTTCGCCGTCCTTAGGACCCCAGCCAGGCAGTCGGGATGCACCAACCGACGCCAACTTCGAAGTGAGGGTTTTCATCTCTCTCGACCAAGTCATCGCTTGGCCTCCCCTCCTCCTCTTCCAACCGCACCCACAACGCGCAAACGATGCACGTCGCGGGAGTCGGTGTGCTGGGATGCGCAACACGTGGCCCAGCCATCGGAGCCTGGTACTTGGTATAATGGTGCTGAGCGGTTCACTCGCTCTTCCTGCACCATAAACACGATGTCGAACACGCTCATTGCTCATGCGGTGCTCCCACCAGACATGAGCTAAGCTGCGAAGGCGGCGATGATCGAATATGACGAGCCTCTTTATGTCTGTCGACCTGATGGGCCAGGTTTCACAACCATATAGGAGAGTTGAACGGACGGGTGCGTTATAAACTCTGCCCTTCAGGGCGAGAATAATGTCGCGTCTGCGCCACAGGCGGCGGAGATTGGCAAAAGCGCATTTAGCTTTTGCTATACGGTTCGTGACCTCATCTTCAATCCCACGGGTGCTGATATAGCTGCCCAGGTACTTGAATTCTTGAGCGACTTCTAGCAGGTCACCACCAAACGTTAGCGCAGGATTGGATCCCTGCCAATTTTGGCGAAGTACTTTGCGTTTCGATGGAGCAAAGCATAGCGCGAAATGATTGACAGCCAGTGCTATTTGGTATGTTTGGGAGCTGTCACAAATTACAGCAATATCGTCCGCATACTCCAATTCCAAAAGTCGTTCACAAGGAAGTTGCTCCACACCTTCTAGGTCGTGTCCAGCGAACGCTGTTTCCATGACTTCATCAATAGCGAAGTTGGAGAGGAAAGGTGATAGCGGGCATTCTTGTCTCACATCGCTGGTGATACTGAAGGGTGGCGACAGTTTGCCATTAACCGTCACCCTGCCCGAACTATGCGCATACAGCGCTTTGATAATGTTTACATATTTATCAGGCATACCTTTCCTCAACAGACAGTCCCAAAGGGCACATCGGTCAACTGAGTCGAAGGCACCTTTTATGTCAAGAAACACGACAACGGTGGTCGCCAATAAATATGGCGGTGCTCCAACACTTGACGCAATGTGAAGATGTGGTCGGTGCAGCCCCGACCTCGACGAAATCCAGCTTGCTCTTCACGAATCTGGCTTTCACGAGTACCAGTCAATCTGTGGAAAATGGCAGAGGCAAGCAATTTAGAGGCAATCGAAATCAGACTGATCCCTCTATGATTGCCGCATTCCAAACGGGAGTTTCCCTTGAAAATTGGGACAATGACAGAGCGGTTCCAGTCTGTCGGGACTGTCTCCTGCTCCCAAAGTTTTACTAGCAACTCGTGTATATCATCTACTAGAGCAGGTCCTCCGAATTTGAAGAGGGCTGGGGGAATTCTATCTGCCCCTGCGGCCTTATTCAATTTCAAGAGTCTGATCTCACGTTCGACTTCTGCGCGTGAGGGCGGATCCAAGGAGACGGCCCAGGGAGAAGGGCGCTCAATGCCCGAAAAAGAAAGCGATAACTCAGGTTGGTTAAACTGCCTTGCAAAGTGTTCAGCCCAACGCTCCAAGCGTTTTGACAGGCTGTGGATCGGCTGCCCACTCTCGTCGCGTATGGTCTCGCTAACACCAGGTCTTCTGCTGCTTGTTTTCCGTATCAGACGGAATAACTTACGATGATTACCAACGACAGCGGCTGTTTCCATCTCAGAGGCACGATGAGACCACCAGGTTTCGCGGTCCTTCTTCAGGCTAGCACATAGTTTTGCCCTGAGATTTTTGCGAGCCTCATTGTATTCGTTTCCAGCCGGAATACGTCTGCGAGTATCCATAAGTTCCAGAGGCTGTGTAGAGACCCAATGTCTGGTTCGGCAATTTGCTTTGGCACATGAAGACATGCCTGCTAACAGCAACGCTTGACGAATATGCGACCAGTGATCTTCAACGGTGTTTAGTGGGCGCGTACTCAGCCCAGATGTCAGCGCACTTTGGTGCACATTCAGAACATCTGGCTTCGCCAGCTGACTGGTGTCAATCCGTTCACAACGACGTTGCGAACGTCCACCGAAACGCACCAGGAGGTCGGCACAGACAAGTGCATGGTCAGAGTCCACGCTCGTGCTCCAAATCGAGCGACAGTTTTGGACACAGTCTCTCCAGCGGTAACTGATCGCGATATGATCGATTTGCGTCCATGGTTGGCGCGATGCCGGTGGGCGCCAAGTCACCCTTCTGCGGGTGCTGTGTCGAAAGTTAGTGCTCGCGAAAAAGAGACGAGCACCTTCACACAACTGTAGCAATCGCTCACCGTTATCATTACGGGAGCCTGCACCATGTTAGCCGCCCAGATGAAGCTCATCGGAGGACAATTTCCCGACTTGGGCGTTTAGATCGCCAGCCAACACCACAGTATCCGTGCTTCTTCTGTAACGAAGGAGCTTGTGAAGTTGCTGATAGAAATCATCCTTTACCGAACCAGTACTACAGTTTGTAGGGGCGTAGGCCGCAATGACAAACATGCACCGTTTGTCCTCGCGCGACTTCG